AAAGAGTGTCCGTGTCAGCCGAATTGCACAGATCATCGTCCTCTTCCGTACGCTCCGTAGCCAGTAAATGCTGTAGCTCGGCATCCACATCCAAATAACTGATCAACAATCGTACAAATAGTGTCTGGGGTCGTATATTTTCTAACAAATCTCTCGGATTGGTGCTACTCGAACGCATAAGGTTGGGGGCAATCACAGTGGCTAGATTGCGTGGATCCATCAACGATCGACTTGCGTTCTCGCGTTTGGCCAGATGCTATATAACCGATGCAATAAACAGAGATTTTGAAACGGAGGTAAAAAAAACAAATAGAATACATCGATCATAGAATAAACAAGCATCGGACAGTGATTTAAAAAGGAAAAAATCAAGTCCCTTTAATAAGCTGTTTGTGCAACTAACAGCGATGGCAAACGGAGCACGTAAGAAGCTACCGCAGCGGCGAAATTCAACTAATGTCGCAATCACTACCCGAATGTCGTCCACTGTGTGCAAGAAAGCATTTTAATCTTTCAGAACTTTCCGCTTTTTTTCATTCACACACAACAGTGATTCGGTCCCGGGATGTTATGAATGACAATTGAGGGCTCTATGTGTAATATGACTCACTGAAAGATGAATCAGAGATGAATGAAATTAATTGAGAACGATATCCAGAAAAGAATGACAATGCTGTCTGCCTCGAACGATAAAGCGGGAGAATTTAATGCGCGAAGTGAAACCGAGTGGACTGCTCTCGCTGGAATTCGGTATCACTAATTAAGTCTAATGTAAAAGAAACGAACCAAATTGTGAAAGGTGATAAATAGCGACAGTACTAACTGAGGTTACCGTGTTGCTAACGGCTGGAAAGTCGCATCAGATCTGTGAAGTAAAAGTCAACACTGAACGGGCACAATTAACGGGAGTGTTGAATCGCTCGGTGTTTACGGCGACATTTGAGTGAATGGGTGAATCATCGACGGAGTTCAATGTATGCGTGAGACAGAATCGGAGGGTTGGTGAACAGAAATCTGCTCTCAGGCAGTACGTTTTTCACGTTCTTTTACGCACATGTGATGATCAAGTAACAGACAGAACGAATGTAGGCAAAAAACGTTCCGGGTACCTGCCAAATCTAAGCTGATCTAGTAGTAATCAGACAGCAATCGATACTTGGTCAGGGGGCGAACAGACAAGAAGCGCACACCAAAACTCAGGTTTGTGTTATGCTACACAGGCCGAATGTACAGTCAGTTTCTTTTTCTTCGAAAAATACGAAAAAAATAATATGCTGTTGTTCAGTTCAGAATGCGCCAGTGCGAACAAGGTAATCGATCAACTTCTTCGTTGACTGTCTAGTGCAATAGGCATGACAACACACTGAACAAGTTCGGGACTGTTCACACAATTAACAAGGAAAGCGGTAGACTAGACTTGTCATTGGAATCACAGCAAATTTAGGACCAGCAAACAGATCAACGGGTAAACAATAGCTATGTAATAAAAGGTCTGGAGTGACGAGATACGAATCCCCGCACTGCGACTGATTGCAACAGCAGTGAGCAACAACGACAACACGATGTGTCATGATCGCAACGACCAGATTGCAACATCGAACAGCCCAGTTCCAAACAGGTCAGAAAACACAACTGATGATTCCTAAGCACTATTTCAATCAAAGCAGATTCGACTTTAACCCCTAGCACTAACATGGTGTTGCCAAGATTTCCAGGGCACCAATGATCGAATGAGGAACAGACATAACAAGAATGTATAAGAACCTTAGTTCCACTGAGAATCTATGACCGTCTGCCTATGTTTAACACCATTAAACAACGGAATATTAAAAACAGGGAGAGGATAATAAACGGTCCAATAGATAAAAAGTTTATGATATCTTGAACTGGAAAATAACATTAATAACCGATCTACAAACCTAACAAAAACAGAGAGAGACAAATTGTCATGAACATCAGCACCGAGTTACAACGAAAAGGTGTGTCAAAACCACTCTACCACAACGTGATTAACGGTAGATGGCATAAAACTTATACTTAAGAGAACCTATTCTTCACTTATGATAAACCGCAACCTAGTAAATGGAACTGAGAGTAGCGAACCGTTTGAGACTCCAAAAGTAGAGGCGTGGTATGGAGTTGGACGATAGCGTAGCTACCTGCGGAACAATGTGAAGAGTAAAGGATGTAGACGAGTCTGCTGTGGATCGACACAATGAAAACAATGTAGCACGAAGCGTAGACAAAACATCAACACAATTCCTTCGGGGATGCAAACCAGCTGACAGTGTTATGAGTGAGTTGGAAAATCACATTGGTAGGCAAAAGCAATCGTCATTGCTTTCACTTATGAGTGGATGTGCGTGTGCGCGCCTTGAAAATTTTGCACATTACCTCATCCCTCAAGTTCATCCACCAAGCACATTCTAATGCACCCTCACGAGTGCTTCGGCTGTCACACGTCACCTATTTGACCGAGCGTACCACAACACCAGTCCAAATGGAATGAACTGATTCGTACATAAACAAGCGAAAGTACTTATGTTTGAAAAGGTATGTATGCATAGTTAGATTGCGCACTCTGTGTTGACCATAGAGGTTCACTTTCTCGCCTCTCTCAAAATACGTTTAATCCCTGGGCATCTTACATATGACCACTAACTTTGTATGGATTTCGAGCTTGGCACCGATCATCGAAGTTCGCTTCATTGTGTTTCGCTGCAGGATGATTATGACGAAGGTTTCGATGGAGTCTGACTATTTGTCCCCCGCCGAACGAAAGCACATAGTCAACGGCACAAACTGAACTGCTCAGAGTTCGGACACACTTTTGCTATTTAAAGGAAATGCTATTCTTTCTGCATCCGTCAAGTGTCTTTCGATTTCAAAAGCATATAGACAATCACATTTGTTTCAAAAGGGGCAGTGAAATTCAAGGGCGCCTGGGTCCCGATGCAAGTTTATTGAGGGTTTAGGCTGATTCCACCCATGGCACAGTTCTATCAATACTCACACCTCAATAAGGGAACCGATCTATCGACTCATGTTGACCTGATTCGCTTTCTTCACCCAGCCCACCCAAATTAATTACCGGTGTGTTCGTTCATTCACGTCTAAAGCTCTCTCGCTCTCGGTCAAGGACACAACGATCCCGATGAGATGAACAGTTCAGTGAATACCATTAACCATGCACTTTCATTAAGCGGAAGACGAACAGCCAGACACTCAGTAGGTACTTTGTTTGTTTATGAACAAATCAGGTCATTCCAACTGGACAGCGTTGTGCTAAACGCGACCCAGCAGGTAAAGTGTGACGACCGAAGCACTAATCACTTGGTGGAGTCGATCAGAATGTGCTAGTGGATTCACTTGAAGTTACAAAGGATTCACTTGAAATTAGTCCTACTGCACGAGATTGGAACGTGTGATTGAAAACAGGTTGAGTAGTTTGCACAAAATGGTTGAGTCGATGAAACTGACGTGATCAGTGGTCACGTGCGCAATACACACGCGTACACACACACGACGTGAGGGAATATGGATTCAATTCGTTCATGTGTCCGTGTAACGATGGTAACGTCACCACAGCTTGTAAGGCAGACGATGTTGGCTGGCATAGTGGTGGCACAGGCTAACTATGGCCCACGCCCAGTAACTGTTCAGACCAGACTGGAGCCTTAGTAATGAGTCACAAATAGATTGGTGTAAACCAATCAGACAATCATACCATTTGTGTATTACTGGTTCATAAAGTAGTAACGGGAGATTGAGAGGTTATGAAAAAGAAAACAAAATCTAGTGAATGGTTTGTACTAGGACAACGTTTTCTTGTACCTGTCGGACGATTGGTGAAAATGAAGTTAACGCGTGGGTTGTACAAAAAATATGAACCAATCCATCCCTTTCACAGAAATCAATAGGATGCCAAGTATCTCTCTTCCTGTAAATGATATCGGGACGACACAAATCGAATACAACACGCAACAGAAACTGACATTGTAATGTATTCTTAACAAATTAGTACGTCTTCATATATTTTTCGCTTATATTGCAGGGAAAAAATCATTACTAAGCATTTTTATGCACCCGTTTTGGTTGATTGTGTTCTTATTCATAATTGCAGTATTTTAAACTTCATTAATCTACACGGCGATCACTGCTGTGATGAAAAAGAAACGGAGGCAGAATTACTTACCTGAAGAAGAAGAATGAGATAGAGTAGGGAACGTCGTTCGAGTGGCGGAATTTTCCGAATTAAAGAGCAACAATTTTGAATCGGATTCGAAACCAGTTCATTAGAGAGGTTCGAATCTGGCTTAGACTGACTTTGCGACTCGAACAGCTCGGCTTCGCAAGCAGCCTTCAAACACTCTGGCTGTAACTCCGTGGGCACCAGCGGATCCGCCATCTCACGGAGCCATAGCTTTAGCAAACCTGCGGCCAGATGAGGATCGATTTGAACGTCACCATTAGAACTGTTCGATAAACGCGTTGCCATAGCTGACAAATTACGCGGCCACTGATCAGTAGGGGTAAGCAGAACGTACTCGGACGGAGGTGACTTGATACACAGGGGTGACAGGGGCCAGGTAAAGGCACCAGTCAGTTGGACTGAATTGCTCAAAATCGGAGGAAACTTCGCTGGCCCAACGCGCTGTTCCTCGTCCGCAATTGCGGCATTCTCGGTTTCAAATTCACGCAGTGACAAAGACCAGCCCGCAGGTGGCGGACGAAGAATACGGAAACACTCGGGCGGATGTTGTTGATCGTCACACTGATTTGACTCGGGGTCCAATACACACACATGAATCACACGGAAAATTTCAAACAGTTTTTCTAATTGACACCGGATTTCCGTAACCAAATCGAGATCTGGTGAAAGACTAGGAAGCATGAAAGGGGAGGGTGGGGGTGAAATAGATAAGAAAAGGGTAAGAGCATTTTTACCTCATACAGACAGGATTTAACTGAACTGGAAA